AAATACAACCTAGAAGCCAGACAGCCAGGGGTGGAGTGGCTACCTCCTTCCCAGCTCAGCCTGGAGCATTAAAAAGAAAAAGAAAAAGTGTACAGCCGTAAAAAAAAAAGTCCCCCAGTGTTCAGATTAAAAACCCAAAAGAATGAGAGCGCCCAGGATCCAGGCAGACGCTGTCCCTTCGGGCCAAGAGCGATTTCCTCAGTGGAAGGGGGCGCTGGCTGGAACTCCAAGGGTCCCCCACTTTGCTCTTCTCTCCAGCTTCGCCGACGACCCCCCCGCTCCCTTCCAGGGGTTCTTTGGAAAATCACTGCTGTGGATATTTGTCCATGGGGCAGAGGTGGGGGGCTGGGACAGACGCCCGGCCGGCCGGTTCCCCCACGTCCAGCCACCTTTCAGTAAATGACCTCGTAAACCGTGGCCTTCTTGTCTCCCGAGCCGGTCACGATAAACTGGTCGTCGGTGGAGATGTCGCAGCTCAGGACCGAGGAGGATTCCTTCGACTGCAAGGAAGAGCGGGGAGCAGGGACATAGCAAACCAGCTCATTTATAAGGCCGTGGAGTGGTGCAGTGATTTATACCAGCTGGCCTTGAACTACTTAGCACGGCCTCCAGGGAGACACTAGGCTGCGCTAGTTTAGAGAGCCGATTGTTTGAGGATAACGGATTAAGACAAATTTACGACTGGGCTAAAAAAAACTGGTCTCCTGCTGAGACGGCCTCTCCCGCTGCTGCCCCTGGTTTAACCCCTTGCTGGGACAAGCCACCCCCTTTGCTCACCTGGAAGATGCTGGCTCCATAGGGCGTCCTCCAGGCATTCAGCAGATTGTCCTTCCCTGTGCTCACGAACCATTTACCTGCGGCAGAGTGTCAGCGCATGAGCAGGACGGAGGGAGGGGGCAAGTCTAGCTCAAGCCAAGTGTGTGGCCCTGTCCCCAGGTGAGTCACAGGATAGCCCCAGGACAAAGAAGCAGGTGGGGGAGGGGGGGAGAATGTCTCCCCACCCCCTGCACGAAACCAGAGGCATGCACCAAAATTATACTCCAAAGCCAAATGAAGCAAAGGAAAAGGGATCGCTCTGACTCAGGCAGAGCGATCGGTGGATTGATGCCAGTGGAGATCCAGGTGATGCACTCTCATGCTTCAGGGAGTACCAGGCTCGCTGCAAAGGGTCAGGAAGGAAGACTCTTCTGCTTCCTCCTACCCCCACTGTAGAGCTGCCTAGGTGCACAGTGCAGAAGGGGCTGTTCGCCTTCCCCTAGGGGCTCAGACATGGGACTCTGCTGGCAAGAGGGTCCCAGAGCAGAGGGGATATGGGGCTGGGGCAGGATAGCTCCCTCCCACTGCAGGTGGGACAGTGGCATGGCTCCAGAGGCAGGACGTGGGCCTTCGCGTGGAACCCTGGTATGAAGGGGTTCACAGCTCCGCTCAGCCCAGCCAGCCCACACAGCAGGTTACGAGCGACCATGCGTCCCTACCGCAGGAGGCGAATTTGAGGGAGAGGACGCAGCTCTCATGGAGGTGGAGCTGGTACTTGTCCGGCTTGGCCACGTGCAGGATCTCCACGTTGCTGCTCTCCATGCC